ATCACCTTTAATTCTCAAATCCCTTGATAAATAAGAACCCGATGATGTGTGTTTACCGGTGAAAATGATTAAATATTAATAAATGTATATATTATGATCCACTCGATCAGAAAGTGAAAGATCTAAAATAATAAACGAAAATTTTATTGAATATTTAAATAGCAACAATGTGAAAATAAATTATAATTCTAACATTTTGAATGTGTGGTAATTCTCTGTCAATACTGATCTCGTTATCGTGTAAAGGTAGCTGAATATCTATTTCGATTTTCTCGATATCCATATTTGTTATATGTAGTGGATAATTATATTATGCTTCAAATCAACATGTTTTCTGGCATTATACTTTGACTCAAGACGCCCTCTCAAAGGGTCTTTGAGTTCTTAGTTAGTTCACCAACATGTAGGAATTAGCGGCAGACAATTGGAATTCAGACAACTGAAGTCTTTTTCGTGACCTATCACTTCGGGGTCCATAATTCAGTCAATATTCCAACTACAGATGATGCAATCATAATATATCTTCTACACTAATACACTAATGCGGGATCAGTAACACAATCTCACTATTCTAGACAACAAAAAAACATATCGACAAAGAACTACAAACCTGATGAAAATATGAAATAATAAATAACATTACATTCAGCAAAGAAAAAACAGAAAATACAATAGTGATGAAGTTGACGTACCTATCTATACCTTAATAAAATATTTTTGCGAAATGAAGTTAACTACAGAAATGTCACTTCATCATATTATGTTCATGTGACACATTCATATTATATGAAAATCAGTTTCGCAAAAAAGTTAAAAATCCTAATAATATAGTCTAAATAAAAACATTATGACAAGTATCAACCAGGTACTCATAAAAAGGCAAATATCACTCGTATTTCAATAACCAGTCTACATGGTAAAAAAATCACAGATATGTAAATATTTTCATAGTTTCCTTTTTCAGAATTTCATATGAAATCTGTCAAAAACTATAAAAATCAGTCTTACAACAACAAAAAATTCTAACTGCAATCTCAATATAGGTACAGGGTTATGATAAAGTAATGCACAAAATTACTGCATTACTTTATCATAACTCTGTATACATCATGACGAGGTGCATAGCTCGGTGCATAGCTATCACTTTATATTGTGATAATTCCATGAGAAAAAACTGAATCGAAGATAAGAATATACTTATTTTCATAGTTTCCTTAAAATAAAACAAACAGTGCAAACAAATTCCACAAATTTCATATAAAATCATCTGCAAACAGAACAACTAAAATTTCTTCCTAACGAATTTGACGGATATATGGTTAATAAACTTTTATAATTGATATACAGTCAACAGTTTTTCTAATGATGACTTATAAATTTACTCTTGAATTCTCGTATCTACATCAATCGTTGAGTGTTCTTCCGATTGTGATGATGAAGAATGGATTGGTTGTTATGCAGTTGTGAGATATTCAATAGGGGCTATACCTCATTACTGAAGTGTTCTATTCATTAGTTCAATGAAACTGACAATAAAAAAAATATTGAGCAGTACTTGAATGTCAAAAACTTTTTTGCAATGTTCTACATACTTGCAGACTTTTCCAAAAATATTTGGGCCCGTTCAATATCTCAGTAACGGCTAAATGGATGAGAACGAGTTTTACATTTATTTTCGGTAACTCGCTATATTTCAAACTAATGTCGCCAATATTTCAGTTTTTTTTTCATAAGCTTTATAAACTTTTTCATTCCACTGCGTTATGTTTTTGTGTGACAACCCAACGAAAACTTTACGAATGATAAATATCTTGACAGATTCAAATCCAGCGTATTCAAATTAAAAATCTTTCTTTATGATCGAGCTAGCCATTATTGAGATATTGTGCCAAATTTTTTCAGTTTGGTATGGTCAAACTAAACTGTTCCCACTGACTGCTCATCATCAGTACCTAATTGATGGGTTAGAACACTTAGAAATGTCGGAATATACAAAACTTCCAAAACAAATATTTATTTTTCAGTAAATAAAAGTTGCGTAGTATAGAACGAAGCGTAATTGTTCTATGAGAATATGTATATAAGGTTTTATTTCCGGTAATATTGAAGTTTAGGTTAACCCCCAACCTCACAATTTTGAATTTGTGGTACAAGAAGTGATATAAATACAAGTATTTCAGTATTCCAATTTGAAAATCTGATCAAGAATGAATGATGATATTAATATAGGAATATAGGTATGTATGCATTTTCTTCGTGGAATACTACAAATAAAAAAGTTGGGTAATTGAAGGCATAAAAAATATTAATAACGCTGAGGTGTAGCAATCCGTAACTAATTATTATCGAATAAAAATAGTAACATGTTTTTGTAGGCTTCATCGATCATTAATATTAGTAGAGTTTGCATAACTCACAAATTCCGTGTTCATATTGATATTCTTCAATATTCTTTTTTATACATTTTATATTATATAACTATATAATAGGTGAAGGGCTAGTCGTAAATAACGTAGGCTCGGAGCCAACTTTCGTGAACAGAATTCGCGGAGAGGTTTTAGACTTAACAATCAGTACACAATTTATGAGTACGAAGATCGTTAATTGGCAAGTATCTACGGAGCCCTCATGTTCAGATCATAGACATATACGATTTGATGTGAGAACAGGACACCGACCAATAGTACAATTTCGTGATCCTAAGTGCACAGACTGGAATGGGTACTGTGAATCTCTCCAGAAGCACCAGAATCAACGGATTTAGCACTGAACAATCTTGTAGGAAAGATCAGCCATTCCTTAGATCATAAGGAAATTGCGCTGGCAGCCTTCCTAGACATAGAAGGAGCGTTCAATAACGCCCTACCACAATCACTCTACATGGCAATGCAAGGTAGAGGAATCAGCAGGCAAATATGCAACTGGATCAAAACCATGATTGGAAATCGGTACGTCATATCATCACTGCATGGAGGGTCGATCAGGTTTAGAGCGGCAAAAGGTTGTCCACAGGGCGGGGTACTTTCCCCCCTTATGTGGTCATTTTTGGTTGACTCTCTGCTGAGCGATCTCTCCATGCAGGGGGTGGATTTCCAATGCTATGCAGATGATCTCGTCCTAATAGTAAGAGGGAAATTTGAAGCGACGATCTCAAACGGCCTACAAGAAGCCCTCAATACTGTGTACAGGTGGTGCGAGAGGGAGCAGATGTCTGTGAACCACCGGAAAACTGTAATTATCCCTTTTACCAAAAGGCAAAAGCTAGATAAGCTTCGTCAGCCTGTCCTATATGGAGAGAGCATTCCGTTTGCGACGGAGGTGAAATATCTAGGGGTCACCCTAGATAAAAGACTCACCTGGAACGCCCATATGGCAAAAACTATTAACAAAGCCAGATTTTCCCTCTGGAACCTCAGAAGGGTATGCGGCAAATCATGGGGAATGAACCCCAAACAGATTTACTGGATTTACCAAACAATGGTAAAACCAATGGTCACGTATGGCTCGGTAGTCTGGTGGACCAAAGGTCTGCAGGGAACAGCCAGGGCAAAGCTTGCTGGTCTCCAGCGGCTGGCGTGCCTGGCCATTACAGGGGCGATGTCCTCTACTCCAACGGCAGCGATGGAAAACCTCCTGAACCTCACTCCCCTCCACATTGTCTTGGAGAGGGAAGCCAGGATGGTTTCCTACAGATTCCAAGCTTGTATGGAGCTGCATTGAATCCCTAGAAAGCCTGGGTGCTAACAACAGAGTCACTTTGCTGTGGGTGCCTGGACACCAGGGGGTGGAGGGTAACGAGAAAGCCGACATCCTCGCCAAACAGGGAACCGAATCTGTGTTCATAGGACCAGAACCATATTTTGGGGTCACCGCAAGTGCGGCGAAAACAACTTTGTCGGGCTGGGCGGAGGGAAAAACACTCACGTACTGGTCCGAATTACCAGGATTAACCCATTCGAAGGCGTTCCTGCCTAAACCATCGGAAAAAATAACCAGGCAGATCCTAGAATGGAGCAGGGGTAACCTGCGAATTCTGACTGGACTGCTTACGGGACACTGTCGTCTAAGATACCACCTGGGAAGGATGGGTCTGAACCAACAAACGGACTGTCGGTTCTGTTGTGTGGAAGACGAAACGGCTGAACACATATTATGCTCATGCTCTAGCTTAGAAAGACTAAGGTTCGACACATTTGGCTTTACCAACCTAGAACCTATCGATTTCAGACAAATCTCACCCAATTCAACCATGAACTTTGTAAAAAGATGTGGATTGTACGGTGAACTGTAACCTCTAGGGGTGAGCCACAATAGACCCATCTGGGGTCGCAGTGGAGGGAAGGTGTTCGCCCCACTCACATGGAACCTAACCTAACCTAACCTACATTTTATATGAGACTCTCTTTTACATGAAGTGCATGTAACCGTTTTTTTATTCATGTTGAAGATTCCACAGTAAAAACACAGACTCCTCATATCCTCGGAATTTAGAAGTACTTTATTCATCAACGACTTCCTGAATTTGTTAATATCTATATTGCACTTTGTGATATTTCCTGATTCAACTAGTTGTTGATAATACAGTATGACGTACACACCACAATTGTAGTCATCTGATTGGGTATCAAACGTGTGCGATTCAATTGTCCATTCCTGTATTACATTCCTTTGTTCGGGATAAAATTCATTCATGAAATTGAAAAATAATTCCATATACCTCTTCGATTCATATCCATTAGTGCCAATAGGATCGAGGAAAGAAAAACTCTTTTGTTCAAAATTTGCAAGAATCAGGCAGAAATGATTCGAATTCCTTAAAAAAGGCATCACCACAAAACTATTATTTGATATTGTAAGTTTCTCGAACTTTTTTCTCAGTGAATTTAAATTATTTGAAAATATGTATGAGGCCATTGTGGTATAAATTATAACGTGTTTTCTTGATTTATTTATAATTGAAAATAATATATCGACGATGAAATTTGTCAGCCAATCTTTACCTCTCAATATTTCGAAATCTGAGGAAGTTATTTCTCTCACATCGCACGGCATTTCTGGAAAACTGCAAATTGTATAAGAAACGTCTAATTTTTTATAAAATCTGGGATCCTCTACCAAGCCATTATCCAAGAAGAAAATGTCTTTACTAGTTTTCCATTTAATGAAATCAATTGAATTTTCATCACAAAAACCAGATTCATATGGCAGCATCAAGAACATATAAAATTCTTTCAATTTTGGTAAAATAGTTTCCTCCCAGAATCTATCATTTCTATGAATTCTCTCCACTTTGATTCCTTTGAAGGTGTATATAACAAAATCGCACCAGTTTCGATTTGTTACTTGAAGGAGGCCTTGAATCTGATAATAGTGATCAGAGACAACTTTTAGACAACCACTTTTATCGCAATATGGAATTTTGCCCAAACGACATGCTTCTAAAACATCGAAGTTCTTCACGGAAAACGGACATTTCACCTCAACAATCCCATCTTCATTTACCAGGCCATCAGGAGATCCACCTATAAACTGATGTTTCTCGTGTATGATCAAACCTGTTTGTCGACAAATCTTTTTCGTCAATTCTTCGTATTCCACTATAGCTTGCTTCTCAAAATCTTTTCCATGCCTAGTGTATTTATTAAAATTTGGTTCCGGAAACATTATTTTTTTGGCAACTCTAATTTTAGTTTCTGTTGATCTTGCCTTACAGATTTCGCCAAAGTGGGATGCGGTGACTCTTTTTCTCCGTTCGTTCTTCCATAAAACTGATGTACTCTGCCCTCTTGTATCAAGTTCAATTTTTTTTATGCATTCTTCATCTAGAATTATTTTGTCTAAATAATCATGGAGAACTGATAGCTTATTTTGTGCGTCTTTTACAGGCTCAGAATTTCTATTATCAGTACTTCGATGATAGAGAAGGCAAGGTTCGCAAACGAAATCACCAGAAAATGTCATATTTTCATAACCACTTATGCACCTAATGTGCACCCATCCACAGCATTTGTCGCATTCAACCCATTCAGCTGTGACATCCAAAGCACCTTCCTTGCAGTAAATGCATTCGTCAACATCTAATTTATTGTCACTAGAATCAAGAAGCTTTTTCAATCTTAAACGTTCAAAATTTGTGACGTGTGGGGCTTTTACTTTTTTTCTCCAAGTTTCCTTTGCCAACAACCCTTCACGTTCCAAATATATTCTAGACTTGGATGCACATTTTTCTTTTGGAATTTTATATTTCTGTTCTTTATGAATGAAAATTACATGTTCTCGAATTTTTCCAATTATTCGGCTACATTTTTGGTGCATCAATCCTCTAGCGATAGAATTTTTTGCAATGCCAAACCATCTTTCTACAGGTGCATTACTTAGTCGTTCACAAGTCAAAATTCCACACCACATGGGCAAATATGCGATGTATTTTTTGAGGAATAAAGTAAAAAAATCTCTATTGAAGTATTCATTTCTCTGAGAAAACCCATCATAAGTATAATTTTGATCCTCAAATAATTCTTTAAAAAATATGAAGAAAGGGCTACACTTATATAAGGGCGCCGTTTCCGAATTGATGATATCTGCGTAGGGCATCGACTCGTAAGTATATTCGTTCTTATAATTTACATTTTTGCAACATAAACAAATTAGGTCCTCCAAAGATTGATGCAAATCAGGTGTTTTCGTTTGAGTGTTCAAAATTTTCGCGAGTAAGTTGAACCACAAACATATTTCATCCCACTGTTGGAAACAGAAAGCAGAAGCAAATATTTCTTTGAGATTAGCCCTGACCGTGGTATCACTGAAAAATGCATCTATATCTGTTGCCATTAACTTGAAAATATGACAACAACATATATGCAATTGAATTTTATCAGATGGAAATGTCTCATATTTATCTGTTGCGACCTTGAAACATATTTTCAAATAAGTTAATAATTCAATACCGTTGAATGCAATGCAAACAGCATTGATTAATGCATGACTGAAATCGACTACAACTTTTGAAAAGATTGGCCATTTCCTCACATTTTGTAAGGCGAAAGCTTTGAATTTTAGCAACCAAGAACAAATGGATGTTGTGTCATGGCTACATGAATACATTTCTAGAACTGGACACACTCTATTAACATTGAGAATTTGGATTACTCCTGCATAATAAAAACAACGTTTTTCTTCTGATTCAGGTTTTCTCACTATGGTTCCAGTCGCATCTAAGTGTAATGTAGGTAAATGAGAAGATCTTATCAAGTCCATTTGTTCTTGGCTATAGATTAGAACATGAAAGGGAAGACCAACGTGATGAATATAATTCATATTCTCTTTAGCAAAAAGCATTACGTCGATGAAATCATCTGAATCTTTATCTTTCTCAGATAACTTTTCGGACCTGACTTTCCGATAAACATCATCCGATTTAATTGTATCTAGATTTCCAATCTCAATGAGTTTTTCATTAGATTTCAGAACATCTTGTTGCCTTTGAAATATTGGTTTTGAATGTTCCAATTTATTTCTCAAGATATTTCTTTCAATGCCTCTTATTTGGGATGTTAATTTCCCTTGATGGTAAAAATTTTTGGAAGTACTGAAAACCGAGACCAAATGACTGCAATCTTTGTAGGATATTTTATTCAAAGTAATTTTGAAATACTTACAGTCATTATGTGCACAGTAAGCATACATTTTGATAGTATCTGAAGACTTGAGATATCTCCAGTCTTTAAAATTCAATATACACGTGTTATTGACGGACTCTTTAATTTTTTTCCTGATAACGAATGCGTACCTACCTGTTATTAATTTTCTACCTCTGCATATTTTGTGGAATTCTAAATCTTCTAATGGAAATGAACCTTCTTGGTATATACAATCCTTATACTTTAACTTTCTTACATTTGTTTCCAATTGATTTACTGAGTTATGTGGTAAAATTGCTGTGTTCTGCTTAGAGGAAAAAAATACATTTGCCTGTTCAAAATCGGAATCGGATTCGTTACTATTGCGACGCTTATGATTGGACATTGTAGTAGTAGTAACAGCATCGTTATCTCTCTTATTCAAATTTGGTGAATGATTCATGATGGTTTTTGAAGAACTGTCATGAAATATACCTGAGTTATTGTTATTCTCTCGGTTATTCTCAATAATTCTGAAAGGCTGTTCAGAATTTATCTGATAATTATTCTGGACTTCAGTACTTATCAACTCAGAAGATGCATTAAAATTATTAGGTTCCCCTCTATTTTCTATATCACAATTCACATGGTTCATTGAAACACTAAAATGAGATATATCTGATAATTCATCAAATATTTCAAGATCCCCATCGTGATTGCTAATAGGAGTTGAAGTTCTTTTTTTATTATTTACATTCTCAATTAAGTTTAGAATATTTCGAATGCAATACATCTGTATCCTTTTTCTGTTTTTTATAGTATTTGCTAAAGGGATTTTTTCGCAAATTTGCGAAAAAATTGAGGATGCGCGATATTATTACTATTACATATTACTCTCTTAACTCTCTCCAAGAGCTTAATATTTTTTTTCTCTTTAGCGTACTTGTTTTTATTGATAATCAAATCTCTAATATTTCCAGTATTCCTTCTGAAGATTTGGCATATAGAATGACAGTCTTGTTTTTCGCTGCTATTGAATACATGTTTTGCCATTCGTATAATATGATCATCTTTCACAGCCGAACTCTTCAAGAAACCGAACGAGAGATCAGTATAATGGCTATTTACAAAATCTGCTAAATTATCAATATTAATTTTTTGTCGGCTCATTTTGCAATCCTGAACAGTACTTTGATGACCAATAAATAGGTTGGAAACGTAAAACCAGATAAAAAATAAACTTAAATAATACACCACAAGTTCAAAATCATGAGTATATCTCACCAAGGAAGCAAAACTAACCTACATCACACTTGGAAGACAACTCAACGACTGCACCAGCATCATTGAGAAGTAGAGCAGTTGAAAAACAGGATGAGGCAGTTCAATGACCTCAGCACTTAGAACGTGACTCAACTTGCTCAAACCAAGACGGGCAACACGCATGACCGGATTACTCATTCCCACGAAAAAAATGAAGACATATCCTCATCTTTGATAAACTTTGACAATACATTTTCCAGATGCAAGGTCTAGGTAGGTAATTGACTCAATTTAAATCAGAAGGAAATAACAAGAGTGGTAAGTATGATCCTTACAAATTCAATAATATGCATGGGGATGTTGAAAACCATCTGAGACACAATAAATGGAGGCAAAGTTGCGTAACTAGAATCCCAATGAATCTGAAAAGTACCTACCATCTTGAGAGATAATCACTGTTTAAGAACAAAGAGCAATAATAATTCAACATTGTCATCGGCACTTCAAATGTATATGATCGGAATTGCAAAGAACAAGAATCAAGATAACAATATAATTTGTTGCTTGACACATTCTAAGATCAATTTATCGAAATCTGACTGAGTGACGAAGAAACGGATTCCACTACAATGATCAATTCCTTATCCTTTATAATCTGTATTATTTCAATGAACGCACATCATCAGGTTCTGATTATACAAGGGGTGAAAGAAATGCATGTTGATTTTTTCAAAATCCATTTTCTCGAAATCTGTGGGGGTGACAAGAAAAAGATTCTCACCATGTTAATTCACTATGTTTTCTATATGGAATGTATCATTTTCATGAACGCACATCATCGGGTTCTGATTATACGAGGGGTGAAAGACATGCATGTTGATGTTTTCAAAATCCATTTTCTCGAAATCTGTGGGGGTGACAAGAAAAAGATTTTCACCCCTTCAATCTACTCTATATTCTCTATGTTATGTATTATTTTCATGAACGCACATCATCAGGTTCTGATTATACAAGGGGTGAAATAACTGCATGTTGATTTTTTCAAAATTCATTTTCTAGAAATCTGTGGAGGTGACAAGAAAAAGATCCTCACCTTGTTAATCTACTATGTTTTCTATATGGAATGTCTCATTTTTATGAACGCACATCATCGGGTTCTGATTATACAAGGGTTGAAAGAAACGCATGTTGATTTTTTCAAAATCCATTTTCTCGAAATTTGTGAGGGTGACAAGAAAAAGATTCTCACCATCTCAATCTACTATGTTTTCTATATAGGATGTATCATTTTCATGAACGCACATCATCGGGTTCTGATTATACAAGGGGTGAAAGAAATGCATGTTGATTTTTTCAAAATACATTTTCTCGAAATCTGTGAAGGTGACAAGAAAAAGATTCTCACCATCTCAATCTACTATGTTTTCTATATAGGATGTATCATTTTCATGAACGCACATCATCGGGTTCTGATTATACAAGGGGTGAAAGAAATTCATGTTGATTTTTTCAAAATCCATTTTCTCGAAATCTGTGGGGGTGACAAGAAAAAGATTCTCACCATGTTAATTTACTATGTTTTTTATATAGAATGTCTCATTTTCATGAACGCACATCATCAGGTTCTGATTATACAAGGGGTGAAAGAAATGCATGTTGATTTTTTCAAAATCCATTTTCTCGAAATCTGTGGGGGTGACAAGAAAAAGATTCTCACCATGTTAATCTACTATGTTTTCTATATGGATTGTCTCATTTTTATGAACGCACATCATCGGGTTCTGATTATACAAGGGGTGAAAGAAATGCATGTTGATTTTTTCAAAATCCATTTTCTCGAAATCTGTGGGGGTGACAAGAAAAAGATTTTCACCCCTTCAATCTACTCTATATTCTCTATATTATGTATCATTTTCATGAACGCACATCATCGGGTTCTGATTATACGAGGGGTGAAAGACATGCATGTTGATTTTTTCAAAATCCATTTTCTCGAAATTTGTGGGGGTGACAAGAAAAATATTCTCACCATGTTAGTCTACTTTGTTTTCTATATGGATTGTCTCATTTTTATAAACGCACATCATCGGGTTCTGATTATACAAGGGGTGAAAGAAATGCATGTTGATTTTTTCAAAATCCATTTCCTCGAAATTTGTGGGGGTGACAAGAAAAAGATCCTCACCTTGTTAATCTACTATGTTTTTTATATGGAATGTCTCATTTTTATGAACGCACATCATCGGGTTCTGATTATACAAGGGGTGAAAGAAATGCATGTTGATTTTTTCATAATCCATTTTCTGGAAATTTGTGGGGGTGACAAGAAAAAGATTTTCACCACTTCAATCTACTCTATATTCCCTATGTTATATATTATTTTCATGAACGCTCATCATCGGATTCTGATTATACTAGGAGTGAAAGAAATGCATGTTGATTATTTCGAAATTCATTTCCTTGAAATGTGGAGGTGACAAGAATTTGAATTTCACCATGTTCATTTATTCCAAATTCTATATGAAATGTATGATTTTCATGAACGCACGTCATCGAGTTCTGATTTTCTAGCCACAGAATTTAGTCAGGGTGCTAATAATCATGCATCCCATCCACAGATTTTTATTTTCCTCTATGTCAGCATGTGTGGCTGTAAATCTGTGGGTAACTTCACGGTAATCATTATACTGGGTGGCTCTCCTGATCGTACTCTGGTTGTATCTAGAATGATATTTTAACTCCAGCTTAACTGAATGCCTTTGATTCTAAGTGTTATTTTCGAAGGTTTGACTTTATGTTTGTAGAATACAAATTTCACGACAAAAATCAGTTGGGTGCAGATGCAGATTATGCAGCGAAAGTATTATTTTGAGATAAATCGTATGCTACTGCTTTATTACTATTAGATACGGAGTTGCATTAGAAAGTCGAAGAACCTGAGCCTGTACA